GACAGACAAAACCTTGCATGCACCTGTTCCTGGCAAGAAAAGCAGCTTGGAAATACACGTGGAAAAACTGCGGAAATACAGCGATATTTCACAAATCCAAATTGATGTTCGGACTACATCTCTTATCTTTCTTGCACAGAAATTCTGAGCCTTCCAGCCACAATGAGTTTAGTTTTTTACTCCTGCTCTTTTCAGGAGATGAATCAAAATTGATTCAAACTATTCCAGGAAGGGAAAGGGTTAATCAGATTTCCCAAGGCAGCTTGCTGTTAAGGTGCCAGAAATACTGAGGGAAAGAATGACTTGCTAAAGATGGGACAATGGCACTGGTATTTTGCATTTGTTTCCAGGCTTTCAGATAGAACAAATGGGAGTCATTAGTGAAATGAGTTTAGGGAGTTCTAAATTAGCTGTCAGGCTGCCAAGCCCGAAGAAGTGCTATGTCAGCCATTAATTCTGGAGAGCACCAGATTACCCAAACCTAGGAAGGAATCCTGCAAAATTTAGAGTCAATTAAAGGAGGCTATTTTGCTATAATATTTTCCACACATATTACACCTCCTCATGGAACAGAGCCCACTTCTACCACAAATGAAATCTCTGGCAGGATGGAGTGTGGCTGATGTCTAGACAGCAGTAATGTGCTCTCCGTGGGCAGGTCCGCTGGCATCTCAGGGCAGGAGGTGGAGGCTGCAGGGCTGGAGCGGCCCCGGGCAGTGACACCCGTTTGCCTCAGCGCCTTGCTGTCCCCGTACCACCCAAAGCAGCGCATCTGTGTGGGGCGTGATGTCTGTGCCCAGAGCGCCCTTCCCCTTCCCCTTCCCGTCCCCCCCTGACCCCCCTGACAAACCCAAAGACCCAAACCCGTCCCTCGGGGGTTCTGATCCGCCCCCGCTGAGCCGGGGGAGCCTCCAGGGGCTGGCACCGCCTCAGTGCCCAGGGCTGAGGTCCCACCTGTGCCCTGCCCCAAAAAAGCCTCCCCGCTGTAGACGAGAGAGCTTATCGGTAGGCAGGTTTATAAAGCACAGGGTCTGTAACCTCCTGAGGGACCTGGGAGTGTTTTGAAGCTGTGAGGAATGGATGCACGGAGCACACAGCACCTGGAGGTGCCGATCAGAGATGTGCCCCTGTGCCCAGCCCAGCCCCGGGACACCCCCACGCTCCGCACATTAAAGTTCCCTCCACCGAGGGGAGCACGGGGCTCTCACACCTCCGCGCTGATGGCTATCGCTGCTCCGTGCCCCGCAGGACAGCAGCACTGCGAACAAATTAAACCAAAAACCTCTGAAATACAAATGAGGCAAAAAATGCCTTCACCCAACCAAGAGAGCTCTGCCTGCCCAACTGCGCCGGATACACAGATCGTGAACAAACAGGATAGAATGTCTTCTGCCTTTTGTGAAATGAAAATAAATGAAAGGATCTAAGGTTTCAGGTCACTGATCCCTCTCTTCCCTATCTGTACCATTTATCGGAGGTAGATTATAAAGGTTCCAGGTCCTTTTTTTTTTTTTTTTTGTCAGCAATTTAATGGTTGTTTTTCATCCTTTCATTTTCTGAATGAAAGGACCACTTAGGAACCTGTAAAGCAATAGTAAGCTTATAATAGAAATATTGTTTTTCTGGGCCAGTGCAAATTCTTTCTGAATAGATTCAAGGGATTAAAGTAAAAATGCAATTTGTATATACATCAGTCCTTTAATTACTTTATAGTCTGTTAAGAGATAATATTTTGCTCACACAGATCATCTGTTATCTAAAGATCTCAGAGCACTTTAGGAACATCAATTAAGCCTTTAAAAAAAACAACCTTGGGAGATAGGTAAGTGTATTTAGATTAATTAGTGTTGCTGTGAGCAGCAGGCATTATTATTAGATTTAATTTAGTCCAATAATTGACTTATCTGTTAATGGATTCTAATTCATCTGAGAAGGGATCAAATCCATCTGATTAAATGGATTACATCGACTCAATTAATTCTATTAACTGACTTAATTTGACATTTAATAATCTGACACACACAACCAGATCTTGGCCCCAAAGAATGCATAAACCAAAAATTACACACTGGAATTGTTATGGCAGCAGAATTGTGCATTGCAGAGCATGCATTTTGCCTTGCACATGGCATTTACACACCTGGATAAAACCATCAAGGGGATTCCTCTGGCTGGTCCCCCAGCCCTGCAGCAGCATTCCTCCCTGACCCGGGCTGGCTGCTCATTTTGCTCTACTTGGGGTGGCTGCTCGGAAAGCAGAACTTCCCTGCCTGAGATCGGCCACCTCCCTTCTGTTCTGGGCATTCTCTGCAACCAAGAGGTGAGAAGTTTTACAGAAGTCAATAAGCCTTGCAATAAAAGTAACCTCCCTTCAAAGGCAGGACAACCCTCCCATTTGGAAGCTGGATATGTGGAAAAAAAAAGGAAAAAAGAAACATTTGGACACTATTGTGAATATAAGGGAAGACGGGAAAGAGGTGTTAAAACGTTGTTTATTCCGCTATCCTTAAAACGGGCTGGTGCTAAAGGGCTGATGATGAGCACCAGGGACCTTCGCCCTGACACAGTGAGCCCTGAGCCGGCGTGGCCCTGCCCGATGTCACCATCTCCGGACTGGACCCGGCTGTTGAGAGGATGCACGGCTGGAGCAGCTCACGGGCACTTTGCCCACGTCTCTTGCCTTTTCTCAGACATTTCTCAGACGTGTTTCTCCTCCCAAAACCTTCCCCAAGCTGCAGTCCTTAGGCCACCAGCCCTCACGGCCCTCGCCGTGCGCTCCCCCATCAGGGCCGGGGCAGGAGCCTGTGCCATCTGCGAGGGTGGCACAGCCCGGCTCTGTCACGGGCAGGGGAAGGGCAGGGGGACCCTCAGCCATCTGCTGCGAGGGAGGAGAGGTGTCCTCCTCCAGATGCAGACCTGACTGGCAGGACGGAGATGTGGATCAAAAGTTTACAACTGTTGAGATCCCCAGACCCGGTTTAAGCCTCTCTCTGGTCTTGATCAAAGGTTACTCCATAATAATGCCTCAGGGGGCGGGGTTCCTGGCACATAATGAACCCTGTGTCATTGCTTTTGTGTCCAGGTTGGGCTGTAACACAGATGGTTCTCACTCCAGTAACTCCGACATCTCTCCCCCCTCCATTATCCCAGACAGGAGCTTTGCGTGGTTCCATCCCGGCCCGCCGTGTCCCACCTCACTGTCGCCCCGATTGTCATGCTCCGAGTGCTCCGTGCCAAGCAGCACCAAGAGCAGATTTCCATAACCTTTCACAGCTCTGGGGGCGAGGAGGCTCTGCAGCCTCGGCGCGTTTGCTGAGAGGCTCTGAGGACAGAGCTGGACGGGGTCTGGAGGGGCAGGCAGGGATGGGGAACGGGGATTTGGAGGCAGGCAGGGATGGGGAGCGGGGTTAGGAGACAGGCAGGGATGCAGGAACAGGGTTTGGATGCAGGCAGGGATGGGGAGCGGGGTTTGGAGGCAGGCAGGGATGCAGGAGCGGGGTTGGGATGCAGGCAGGGATGCGGAAGCAGGGTTTGGAGGCAGGCAAGGATGCAGGAGCTCCCGGCCGGGAGTCTCGGGCTCTGTCATGGCAGCAGCGCCCTCGGCCACGAGCGCGCTCCCGCACGCGGGGTTTGTTGTTCAGACACGATTGCATATGTATGAAGGGGACAAGATGGGCTTTGACACATAAATTAGCACTTGTCAGCTGCTCCCGGGAACACTTCCCTGCTGCACCCACTGTAAATGCCGCCTTCTTTCACCGACAGGAAAACTCCATCACGGCACCTGACAGGCACCGCGGGCAGCAGCCGCACCGGGCGGCCGCGGCAGCGCCCAGCGCCTCGTTTACACATCAGAGCTCAGGAGGATGAATGCCATAAAATGACACAATAATTAGCAGCCAAGTGGCACTTTTCACTCCTGTAATATCTGGGAAAAAATTTGGGAATGACAAAGGGCAAGGTTGACGAGACGTGAGGGCAGGGCTTTCTCTGAGAGAAGGGCTGACCCTGCACAAGTGCTTTGGGGGTCACTCCCTCCCTGCCCGGCGCTCTCTGGCTGTCGCTTCCCGCGGCACACCTCCCGCACCTGCAGTGGCAGCGGCTGCCCTCGGTGCTCAGCGTGTGCCTCATCCCTCCCGAGGCCTCCCGAGGGAACAACCGCTCCCAGATTTTGATCTGCCCTCCTCGAAGCCGGCTCTACCTCACCAGTGCTGCACCAGACAATCCCATGCGAATGGTTGAGCCAGCAAGCTCTCACACACACCTCTGCAGCAGCACAGGAACGCACAGGCTGCACATCCCAAACACGGACAGGACCAGTGCTCTCAACAGCCCTAAACTCCTCCCAGCAGCCAACTAGAGTAAAAGCATCTCAGCAGAAATCATCTCAGAATGAACTAGAATTACAGCATTTTTCATAGCCCAGGCTCTAGCAGCGTTTCCAGCATGTTGCTTGTGTGCAAATCACAATAAGAACAGCTGAATGTGCTGTCAGCACAGGGTAAGTGCTGTTTTTCCTGCAAGATCCACACACTCGAGATTCAGCTTGAACTCTGGGGTACTCTCAAAGCTCTCAAAGTCTACTTTCAGTTTAAACCAAATATCCCACACCCGAAAAGAAGAAAGTGCTTCATTCAAACGCTGGATTCACCAAACATGAGCCCAAGAGTTCATGGGGAAAGGACTTCCCCAACCACCAATTTAGGTATCATTTATGAATTGCAGTAAACACACTGAGAGCTTATGGCCTGGGGAGAAAGATATTCTTTTCTTCAACCACATACTAATAAATTGGGGCATGGCAGTATTGTGGGAACTGCCTGCAGCTGGGAGGCAGCACCAGCAAAATAAATCTCATGTTCTTAACCTGGAAATGTTATTTTTCCTTTTATTTTGTTTTTTATTGCTCTTATTACTTTTCTCCCAAGAGGTTCTTTGCACAACACCCTGGATTAAAGCCTTTGACCTGAAGTCTGGGGGATCCCAGTAAATATTCTTACCATATTTATCTCCATCTTCTCCTTTGGCACTGATCCTCCTGCCGAGCACTTGGATGTGCTTCCCACTTGTCCTGCTGTAGAGCTGATAGAGCCGCAGCTGCTTCCTGCTCACATCGTCCCTCGCTCGCGTCTGGTTCTCCACGTGTATCCGAAAATCCACATTCTCCTCAGCAGCAAACATCTGGGATGGTGGGAAGTGGGGAGAGAGAGCAGAGCATGAACACAACAGGCTCTGGGGCAGAGGGACTGCAGACTGGCCTGCCAAGGGAGGCTCAGATTTGGCTGCCTTTCATTTGGCAGCAGTGTCAGCAGCCACCCAGAGCTGATTCTCCACAGCAAAACAAACCTGGGCCATTGCAATCAAACCGGGAGTTTTCAAATAAAAACTTCTGCTCATCCCTGCTTTGATTAAATCCTAGTCAGCCATGCTGACCATAAATTAGGCTCCCCACTGCATATGCACAGCCTCTACCAGGTTACACAGGCCCAAACTGGAGAGTGGAGACAGCCGAACCCTTCTCAGAGACTTGGTGCATCACCTTCAGCAGCTGCACTGATTCTCTGAGTTAACTGCAGGAAAACATCAAGGGAAAAAACTCTTTGTGTTGCCCTTAGCAGTCTGGACTTGAACTTCACACTGGCATAAAGTCCACTACAATAGAAGTGACACTTGTACACTGCACAGCTTAACTGTTTCACAACTCTGCTCTGCAGTGAAGCCACACCATAATCACCAGCCATGGATGTGTTTCTGTCCACCTCAAAAGGGCCACAGGAGGAGTGGTGAGAATCAAACCAGCTTTTCCACCAGTGGCTGTGATCAGCAGGGGTCTGACAACCTCAGCCACCTCATCTGTTTGTCTGGCCAAGGGAATAAATTAACCTTAATTCACTACAGCTTAAATTATTACCATAAACTTTTCATTTTGTTTCCTATTTTAAAATCCCCAAGAAATATCAAAACAGGAGTCCCACTTTTCCTTCCAAAGAGTCATTCTGACTGGCCCAAGGTCAGAGGACCCAAGAACACCACTGCTCTCAAGATGCCTTCCCAAAGGGGAGACTGGGCAGCATGCACCCAAAAAGCTCTTCACACCCAAACAACAGGAAGGCCCAAAAATTGCTCCATGAACTGTCCATCTATGATCTATGGAGCATTTGCACCACAACATCCAAACTCACAGATGGGCAACATTTTGGTGGCAGACTTTACAGGACAACAAATGACATGAAACATGGCCTGCAAGCAAAAGTGTTCTGATGTATCAGTGTGGGGAGGGAACTGGCAATGAAAATGGAAAAGGTCAATAAATCCTTGTTCAGATCCACTCCAGACTAAAACACATAAAGAAAGTGGCCACAACACACCAAAGAGCCCCACTTCAGCCTCCTGCACATCATCTCATACCAGCAGATACAGTGAAGCCTGAAAGTCAAAACCTCAATAGAACTTTGCAGCATTTCCAGTTATCCTGGGGACACCCAAGCCTGCAGCAGGAAGACAAGCTCACTCAGGCAGGCAGTGCTGCTGAGCACCAGACCTTCAGAAAGCACCCTGGGCCAAAGCCCAAGCTCAGCACAGCAGCAGCAATGAGGTTCCCAGTGATGCTGTGGGATTGCCTTCGGTGCTCTTAGTAAAATCTGGGATTCCGGTATTGATGTTTTGAGGAGAAAGTGATTTATCTCTGATTTGGCTGTCAGAAGCCCATAGGGAGCTGAAGGCACAGGCAGAGGCTGGGCAAGGGAGGCTCAGGGCAATGCTGGGACATTCACAGCGATGTCAGAGGTGACAGACAGGGGTCACAATATTTCCCACTCCCAGAAAACAGGGTGGCCAGGAGCTGTGACCCAGAGCTGGGCAGTCAGAGGAGGAGCAGCCCCTAGCCAGAGGGCATGGCAGGGTGCCACATCAGGATACTGACAGGGCTCTGGCCAGCAGAGAGCAGGGCTCTGCTTGCCCTGCCCTCCCCAGGCACCACAGCTACACCTGAGCGAAGCACACAGCACTTGACTTTTGACAGAAATCATATTAATTTATTTTTCTCCTTGCAATGTCTTTTCTTCCTTTCTTTTCAAATCCCATTGTTGCAAAAGATGCTGAACTACCAAACCCAGAAAGGTTCCAGTCATGCTGACAGTCTGCCTTGTGCCCGCAAAGCAAGGCTATTGGCAGCTAAAATTCTGGCTCCATTATTTTAAGATTTAAAACAGATTTTAAATCAAGATGACGTCATTACATTGCTTTCACCACATGTTAATGAATTTCACATTTTTCTAGGAAAAAACCAAAACAGGTGGGATTTGAAGTGGGGGGAAGGGCAGGTTGCTTTGCTTTTTTGGAAACTCCCAACAGAAAATGCAATCTGTTTTCCAAAACATGTTTTAATTATCTTCTAATTGTCTCTGGAGCACTCACAGTGCAGAGGCTGTAGTTGCAGTGCCTCGGTGGGCCCAGGAGCACCCATGAGCATCCTGCAGAGTGCTCAGCTCCAACATGTCACCAACACCCCTTTGTCACCACTGTCCTGCCTGAGATCAGCTAATCAAGCGCCCCTTCCCTTTGCAAGAAGGGCACCAGCTGCACAGGGGTGCCATCTCCTCTTCCCCTGTCCAAGGAGCTGGCTGGCCCCACCCTTAGCCAAGAGCTGAGGTAGCTGATGCAGGAATCAGCAGGTGATGCTGGCCCTGAAACACAGCCAGCCTAGCCTGTATCACTCCAGCACTTCCCTAGACGTGCCCAGCTCTGAGCCAGGGCAGAAATCCTGGAACAGGCTGCAGGCTCCCCTTGCAGCTGAGCTGTCTCCTGGCCAGAAGCCGTGGCAAGAGCAGCAGTGAAACCACCCGGATTTAGCCACCTGCTTAAAGATAAGCTCACACTTAACCACCCTGTGGAAACAGGATGCTCTGCTGGAGGGTGGCCAAAGGGAATTACCCATGCCAGCCTGGGCTGCATCTGGCCTGCAGCACAGAATATCAGTACCCAAAAAAAAGTTTCATGCAGTGTTGATTTTATGAGATAAAACTTGTTTGATCGTTGCTAAAATTCACTCTCACAGGACCCCTTCGCTACAGGGTACACTCCCTCAAGCAGCAAACTTCTCTGAGATAAGGAAGTCCATGTATGTATACCAAAAGAGAGACTCTTCTATAAATCTCATAAAAATTAGTAACATATGTCTCCTTTGGCAACTGATGGCCAACACTCAGTCAGGGAGGTCACCTGAAACCAAGTACACTCACCCTCAAATACACTTGAATGCAGAAATGTCTCTAAGTGCCTTAAACTGAAGGGCTTTCACTCCTGTTCACCAAAGCAAGTTTTCCTTTTTTGTCTTGACTATTGAAATGCTATTACTGCACATAACACATCATACACAAAATGAGGCCCTTCTTTGCCTTTCAGTCTGATCATCCACACCTCCATATAGGCAGCAAAACAGACCCTGGGTCCAGAGCTCACACAACAGGTCCCTGAAGGGAAGGGCTGCGTGCACCTTCCAGCCCCTGAGCAGCACTGTGGGACACAGGACACAGGGCTCTGTCCTGTCTGGCATCTGTCCAGCTGCCATGGGCTGCTGTCTGTGCATGATTTCAGCATCTCAGGATAGTGGTTTTGTGTAACTCCATCTCATTCCTTGGCGACAATTTATAACCTGCAAAATTCCAGCTGTTAAATCAGAGCATTGAATTTCATTTCATTTTCACTCTGCCTCTCTTTTCCATCAGTTTCTTATCCATTTTTTATTTATTTGTCACTACTTATCACCTTTCAGTGATAATATCCAGCTACAAATACAGTTGGCTATCCAAAGTTCATACAAGGGAATAAACAGCATTTACATTAAAAATAACCATCACCTCCAGCCCCAGAAGCAACAGAAATGCCTTGCTCATGAAAGGAAGCTGCTCTCCCTTGTCTGTTGTCCTTGCCCAATAATTCAAGGTGGAGCATTCAGTTCCACCTCCTTTCCCAACAGCCAAAGGAACCAGAAACTACATCTGTCTTCCAGCAAGTCCACAATGGGAGATTTTCATGTGCTTTTTTGCCAAATGAGTCTCAAATAAGAGTGGATTTCATTTTAAATGGCTTTACAATGATCCTTCAGCTTAAAGAACGACTGCCCTCTTTGTTAAATCCCAGATGGAGGGTGAGGGAAGGACCATTTTGCTGATGCAGCCTAAGGTTTCAGTGTGCATTAATCCAAGAAAAGCTCCAAGAGCAGCTCTGTGATGTCAGCCCTGCACGGCTCGTGCCCCATCTCTGCACTCACAGATGCCTCCTGTGCACGGAGCAATCCCAGCCCCGCCAAGGTCAATGGAAGCCTGGCCGTGCCAAGCCACGTCTGCAGGATTTGGCTTTCCACCCAACCAACCTCCAGCACTTTGGATTTTTCTATTTCAAGCTTTCCAGTAATGGGGGATGTTAATCTGTTATTGTTCGTGTCATAAAGCGTTACAGCATGAGATGTCCAAGGCCCACAGCATACCCAAGTTAGCTGGGAGCTGGACTTGAGAATTTCCTGGTGTTTTGCTATTTATGCTACAGACCACTCAATAGAGAGCTCCCTATGTCACTCAACCATATGTCATTCCCCCAGCTGAACCAGGAATACAAAATCCCTCTAGCTAAGGGCCATACCGATTGCAAAAGATAAACAAATCAGGCTATTCAAAGTCCTCTCAAACCCCATCTGATAAGCAGGAAATACTTATTACCTTTCAGCCATCAAATCAACCTAATATTAATGATTTTCTCCATGACCTTCTAAACACATGAAAGTTAACTCAATAAGGTCAACAAGAGGAAATCCAAGACAGATCTCTCTCAAGCCCTCAAAGGCAAGTAACAAACCACTTTGCTTCCATGACTTTGGCAGAATTCCTGTACACAAATCACAGCAGGATTTGCTAGCTCCCCATGACAGCCACCCTCAGCACACACTGAAACACAATGCACTCCTTTTTCCTCCATTTCACTGCAAAGTCAGCCCACCACCAGGGATGTTGTTACCATCGTGTCACAGAGCCTCCCACAGCTAGACAGGAGAGGATGAGCAGTGCTTGGTGTGGTCCCTTCTGTGGCTTTAGGAGCATTGGCTTTGGAAAAGCATCTCCATGCTCAGATATGCAGAGAAGGTACTTTACAGTGAAGCTCTGTATATTCAATGGGAGAGAGGCCAT